AAAAGATTTGGCAATTTCTTAGAGTTAAACTCAGTAATGCAGCTATTTTTCTCCTAGGTATTTATCTCAGAAAAATAAAAATATATATCTACAAAAGACTTGCACAAGAATTTTCAAAATAGCTATATTTGTAAATGGCATCAAACAAGAAACAATTCAAATGTCCATCAATAGGATAATGGATAAACTAATTGTAGTTTACAACAGGATACTACTCAACAATAAAAGGAACAAAGCACTGATACATACAAGAACATGGATGAATCTCACATACAATATGTTGACCAAAAGAAGCCAAACACAAAAAAGCACGTACTGTATAATTCTATTTATGTGAAGTTTCAGAAGGGGCAAAACTAACCTGAAAAAAGTCAGAAAAGTGGCTTGCTGGGGGGAGGTAGGATGGAATCTGAGAACGGGCACTGAGAGAATTTTCTGGAGTGATAAAACTGTTCTATATCTTGACAGGAGTGTAGGGTACATTGGTAAATTTATTTCACAAAATTCACTGAATTATACACTTAGGATTTATACTCTTCACTACATGTAAATTTTGCCTCAAAAAAAAACAAAACACAACTATAAGCAAATACTGAACTCTACTTATACAGGACTGCCTTTCACAGTGGTATAGCTTAGCAATTCTGAAACTACTTTTGTATACTCTAGGGACAATGGACAATTTGAATATGGACTCTGGACTAGATAACAGCATTGTATCAGTTAACTTTCCTAATTTTGATAAATGTACTATGGTTAAGTAAGAGATTGCCCATGTTCTTGGTAAATGTACATGTAAATGTTTTGTGGTAAGGGAGCACAATGTTTCCAATTTACTCTCAAATGATTCAGAAAAAGAAATAAAGTGCATATTTATAAATACATATATGTAGGGACTTCCCTGGTGGTGCAGTGGTTAAGAGTCTGCCTGCCAGTGAGGGCGACGTGGGTTCAATCCCTGGTCCAGGAAGATCCCACATGCCTCGGAGCAGCTAGGCCCATGAGCCACAACTACTGAGCCTGCACTCTAGAGCCCGCGGGCCACAACTACTGAAGCCCGTGCACTCTAGGGTGCATGTGCCGCAACTACTGAGCCTGCATGCTGCAACTACTGTAGCCCACACGCCAAAGCCCGTGCTCCACAACAAGAGGAGCCACAGCAATGAGAAGCCCGCACACCTCAAAAAAGAGTAGCCCCCCGCTCACCACAACTAGAGAAAGCCCACACACAGCAACGCAGCCAAAAAAATAAAAATAAATAAATACGTATATGTATACATGCACAGAGAGAATTATAAAGCAAATGCAGGAGAATGTTAAAAACTGCTGAAACTAGATAAAAATTTAAAAAAAATTCTTTTACTACTCTTTCAACATTTCTGTAAGTTTGAAATTGTATTACAATAAAATGTTATACCCCCACCTCCACACACACACAAAAATGTAACACCAGACTAGTTTCATCTATTTCAATATTCCAACAAGGTTTCCTTTTTTCTGGCATTACAAGACTGTTAGAGTTGGATCACCTTAATCCAGCTCCCTGGTTTTACAAATGAAGTCCAGAAAAACTAGGCCAACAGTCAGATAATTAGGTAGCAGTGAGTCAGGTTAGAATCCTGATCTCTTGACCCCCATTTCAATACTCTGTAATAGTTTTTTTAAATAGTATTTTTAGCTTTGATACTACCTAATGAAAGCCAGCCAACCTTATTTACTGCATATAGTATTATACTAGAAAAAAAAAAAATCCTGCAATTAGGGTACTGCTAGAATCAAAATTCTGACACTTAAAAACTACACTGCAATCTATTTGGGATAGGTAGCACACTAATTAAACTACAGAGTATTTTTATAGAGAAACATATCCTCCATTATAACCATCACAATAATAAACCAATCTGGACCCAACACTCACAGTCATAAAGGGATTTGGCCAGTGAGATAGCACACTATTGTTAGTCTTGGTTGCAGGTAAGATATACTATCTACTCAGAAGCTCTTTGGAAAAAAACAATTGTGAACCACCCCCCCAACCCTCCCCCCCACGCACTAGAAGAAAACAAAGCTCACATGTGATGAACTAAGTTGTATCCTGTACTGACACACTAAGAAAGGAAAGAAGCAGAAGGCTAAAGACATGGAAACTTCAAAACCACTCTCTAAGTCTACAAGGGCTGACCTACCATTTTTTTTTGATTGTAGAAAAAAAAAAGGTTAATATATTACTAATGTATTATAACAGGGCAAAGGTTCACCATACTATCTTCCTTTACCAGTGAAAGGAAATTAACTTTCAGCCAGGAACGTTATATACTCCCTATTTCAAAAAACTAAGTTAAAGAATAACAAAATGAAAAAAATTGTTTATCTTCAGTTTCATGTTTCGTAGGGCTAGTTATATGGTAATCAAAACAATGTTCAGTGAATTACTGGGGATCTAAATAAACAGATATTCCTTGTACATGGATAGGAAGACAATACTGTCAAGATGTGACTTCTTTCCCATTTGATCTATAGATTCAATATAATCTCAATTAGGGGCTTCCCTGGTGGCGCAGTGGTTAAGAATCTGCCTGCCAATGCAGGGGACACGGGTTTGAGCCCTGGTCCAGGAAGACACCACATGCTGCAGAACAACTAAGCCTGTGTGCCACAACTCTGAGCCTGCGCTCTAGAGCCTGTGAGCCACAACTACTGAGCCCTCGTGCCAAAACTACTGAAGCCCGCGTGCCTAGAGCCCGTGCTCCACAACAAGAGAAGCCACCACAATGAGAAGCCCACGCACCGCAACAAGGAGTAGCCCCCGCTCGCCACAACTAGAGAAAGCCCATGCATAGCAACGAAGACCCAACGCAGCCAAAAATAAATAATAAATAAAATAAATATTTAAAAAATCTTATTAAAAAATATATAATCTCAATTAAAGTCTCAGAAAGTTATTTTGTGGATATCAACAAACTGGTTTTAAAGTTTATATAGAAAGGGAAAAGACCCAGAATAGTCAAAACAATACTGAAGGGAAAGAGAAAAGCTGGATAAATGATTCTATCCAGGTTCAAGAGTTATTATAAAGCTTCAATAATCAAGAAAGTGTGGTATAGAGAGAAGAATAGGAAAACAGATCAATGGAACAGAATACAAGGCCCAGAAATAGACCCACACAAATTCAACCAAATTAACTCTGACAAAGGAGCAAAGGAATTACAATGGAGAAAGGAGTCTTGAATAAATGGGGCTGGAACAAAAAGACATCAACTCCTACAAGATGACATAGGAGAAAATCTAGACGAACTTGGGTATGGTGATGACTTTTCAGATATAACACAAAGGCATGACCCATCAAAGAAATAATTGATAAGCTGGACTTCATTAAAATTAAAAACTTTTGCTCTGTGAAAGACAATGTCAAGAGAATGAGAAAACAAGTCACAGACTGGGAAAAAATATTTGCAAAAGACATTTCTGATAAAGAACTGTTATCCAAAACATACAATGAACTCTTAAAACTCAACAATAAGAAAACAAATAACCTGATTAAAAAAGGCTGGAACAGACACCTCACCAAAGGAGATACACAAATGGCAAATGAGCATATGAAAAGACAGTTAACATCATATGTTATCAGGGAACTGCAAATTAAAACAACAATGGAATACCACTACACACCTATGAGAATAGCCAAAACCCAAAACACTGCCAACACCGAAAGCTGTCGAGGATGTGGAGCAACAGGAATCTCAGGCTCACTGCTGGTGGGAATGCAAAATGGTGCAGACACTTCGGAAGATAGTTGGGCAGTTTCTCACAAATCTAAACATATTCTTATCACACAGTTTGGCAATGAGTTGACAATCGATGTTCACACAAAAACATGTACACTAATGTTTAGAGCAGCTTTATCCATAACTGCCAAGACTGGAAAGCAACCAAGATGTTCTTCAATATGTGAATGGATAAACAAATTGCACACAATGGAATTTTATTCAGCAATAAAAAGAAATGAGCTATCATGCCACAGAAAGACATGGAGGATGGTACATATATACAATGGAATATTACTCAGCCATAAAAGGGAATGAAACTGGGTCATTTGTAGAGATGTGGATGGACCTAGAGAGTGTCATACAGAGTGAAGTCAGAAAGAGAAAAGCAAATATCATATAACAACACATATATGTGGAATCTAGAAAAATGGTATAGATGATCTTATTTGCAAAGCAGAAATAAAGACAGACGGAGAGAACAAATGTATGGATACCAAAGGGGAAAGGGGTGGGGTGGGAGGAACTGTGAGACTGGGATTGACACATATACATTTTCAATACTATGTATAAAATAGACAACTGATGGGAACATACTATATAGCACAGGGAACTCTACCTAATGCACTGTGGTAACCTAAATGGGAGGGGAGTCCAAAATGGAGGGGATATCTGTATGTGTATGGCTGATTCATTTTGTTGTGCAGTGGATGCTAACACAACGTTGTAAAGCAACCATACTCCAAAAAAAAAAAAAAAAAGGGACATAGAGGAACCGTAAAAGCACATTGCTAAGTTAAGGAAGTCAATCTGAAAAGGCTACATATTGTATGATTCCAATTATATGGCATTCTGGAAAAGGCACAACTATGAAGACAGTAAAAAGATCAGTGGTCGCTAAGGGTTTGGGGGAAGGGATGTAGGAATGACTAAGTGGAACATGGGAAATGTTTAGGGCAGTGAAACTATTCTGCACAATATTCTGATGGTGAGTATGTGTCATTACAGATTTGCAAAACCCACAGAATTCACAATACAAACAGTGATCCCTTAGTTAATAATAATGTATCAATATTGGCTCATTAATTGTAATGAAGGTACCACACTAATGAAAGATGTTAATAATAGGGAAAACTCTGTGTTTGTACTTTCCCTCAATTTTTCTAGAAAGCTAAAACTGCTCTAAAAAATAAAATCTATTAATTAGAAAAGAAAACTCATCAATAAACTTCTTACCAGGTCTAATGAAGACATTTTCCACAGACAGCATTGCTGCTATTGGAAGTAATAGGTCTTCACAGTCCAGAGAAGCAGCCTTTATTACTGCACATGTCAGATGTGGAGGGAGAGGAAATTCTACCATAGACAAACCCAATCTGGTCACGTGGCCACTCCTTAATGGAAAGAAAAAGGTTTTAAGTCTTTCTACCTTGGGAGAGTACAAAGGAAATGTTTATCATTCAGAATAAGTCAGATATAATTTAGATTACCTTAAATTACCTCCAGAAATTCAATTCAAGATAAGAAATATGATACACTGTGTTCATTGATAAGAGAAATATAAAGATGATAAATTCCTTGCTCTCAAGGGCCTATATATCCAAAAAACTAAACAATGAGGCAGAATAAAGTAGTATAATAAAAGACACACAATGCTACAGAAGCACGGAAAATGTCCTTAAAGAAATGAGACAATGATAATTACCACATCTTTTCCTATCACACAATCATGAGAACAAGGACTCTGGGTCTCATCATTTTGATGTACCCAGCATAATGCCTGGCACTGAAGTGGTACTCAGAAATTACTTGTTAGGGAAAAACATAGTGTTGTAGGTCAATTATACTTCAAAAGCAAACAAACATACAAACTTATAGAAAAAGAGATCAGATTTGTAGTTACCAGAAGTGGGTGAGAAGGGAGGGGGAATTGGATGAAAGCAGTCAAAAAGTACAAAAAAAAAAAAAGAAAGAAAGAAATTACTTGTTAAATAATACCAATACTAAACAAAACAGTTTTATGGTACAATTTCAGAACTGTAGTGAAGAAAAATTGAGGACAACTTTTAATTTCAGGGAAAACAATCCATTCAATTCAAACAAATCACTTACTAATGATAAAGGAAAGTATTAAGAACCCTATTTTAGGGCTTCCCTGGTGGCACAGTGGCTGGGAATCCGCCTGCCAGTGCAGGGGACACAGGTTCGAGCCCTGGTCTGGGAGGATCCCATGTGCCGTGGAGCAGCTGAGCCTGTGTGCCACAACTACTGAGCCTTCACTCTAGAGCCCACGAGCCACAACTACTGAGCCCGCGTGCCACAACTAATGAAGCCCACGTGCCTAGAGCCCGTGCTCTGCAATAGGAGAAGCCACCGCAATGAGGGGCCCATGCACCACAATAGCCCCACCTCGCCACAACTAGAGAAAGCCTGTGCGCAGCAACAAAGACCCAATGCAGCCAAACATAAATAAATAAAAAATAAATAATTTTAAAAAAAGAACCCAGGGCTTCGCTGGTAGCACAGCAGTTGAGAGTCCGCCTGCCGATGCAGGGGATACGGGTTCGTGTCCCGGTCCAGGAAGATCCCACATGCCACGGAGCGGCTAGGCCTGTGAGCCATGGCCACTGAGCCTGCGTGTCAGAGCCTGTGCTCCGCAATGGGAGAGGCCACAACAGTGAGAGGCCCGCGTACCACAAAAAAAAAAGAACCCTATTTTAAAAAGAGATTAATATCTACTGTGGTTGGTTTTGTTTTCGTTTTTTGTTTGTTTTTTACCTGTCAATAGCATCACACTGGTAGAGTTGTTTAAGAGCTTCCAAAATAAGTCTCTCATTAGGTGGATCCAAATATGGAAACCTGTGTGTTTAAATAAGACATAAAATGAGATTCCATTCCTTGAACATGGCAAGATTTTATACAGATTTGAAAATTCCTTTAAAAGGTTTTACTTCTGTTTTTCAAGTCTTTCTTTTCTCTGTCTTTTTTTTTTTTTTCAAAGCATTCTATGATTGTGATCAGCATTCAGCAAAGGAGGAAATTTTTTTTCTGAATCACACTCTTCTATTTAATTCAAGAAGCCCTTCTTGGGCTTCCTTGGTGGCGCAGTGGTTGAGAGTCTGCCTGCCGATGCAGGGGACGTGGGTTCGTGCCCCGGTCTGGGAAGATCCCACATGCCGCGGAGCGGCTGGGCCCGTGAGCCATGGCCGCTGAGCCTGCACGTCCGGAGCCAGTGCTCCACAACGGGAGAGGCCACAACAGTGAGAGGCCCGCGTACCGCAAAAAAAAAAAAAGCCCTTCTTTTTGAGTCCCCCTTAGCTGGAACACTTTCACCATTCCTCTCTACTTATCTTAACCCTTCCCCATTCTTCATAGCCAATATCAAGTCTACTCTGTTCTGTAATCTGTAATTTTTATTACAATTTTATAAAACAGTAAAGGAAAATTAACTGAAAGTGGCTAAAAATTACAAATTATTTAATAGTACCTCAAAATGGTTTTTAATGAAATGATAAATATCTTAAATTAATTTAACCAATTTACTTTATTGTATGTATGAATGTGTATGTACTTATTTTCTCCTGAACTACCTGCAAACAGGTTGCAAATGTAATGCCAATTTACCCCCAAAATATTTCAGAGTGCATCCCCTGAAAATAAGGACATTCTCTTACATACCATAATATCATTTATAAACATAAGACAATTAACAATATTCACAAAGTACAGTATGACTATTCAGATGCCTCTAGAACATGGATCTATTTCACACTTGAAAATAAATATTTCTTTAAATGTGGAAAAAAAATAATATTCACAAAGGACAGCAGAGTGGCATATAACCAAGTGTGAATATATATCCCCCCACCCCAGGAACAATAATCACTTAATATTATTCTGCACTGGATTTTTTTTTTCCACCATTAGTTTTGAGATGCTAAATCATCTACTCCAATTTCCCACCTTGAAAAAGGTCCAACAGAGGACAAAAGGTCTAATACCTTACACAAAAGTCCATTCGAGGATTGACAACTCTATTTATAAACAAAAATCTGGTAGACTGTTCTACCGTCAGCTTTCCTACAACTTGTACCAACAAGTCCTGGTATCTGCTAGAGCAAGAGTTGGCAAGCACTTTCTAAAGAAGGCCAGATAGTAAATATTTTAGGTTTTACAGGCCATATGGTCACTCTCACAATTACTCAACTCTGCTGCTGAAGCAAAAGCAGCCATACATTAATGAATGGGCGTGGCTGTGTTCCAACAAAATTTTATTTACAAAAACAGTCAGTGAGCCTAGACCATATTTTACGACCCCTATCCTAGAGCAATACCAGACTAGTCAGCTTCCTCTTCTAGATAAGAGCCATTTTAGATTTGTAAAAACTACAATTATTTCTCTCCCTTGATTATACCAATTACCAATTCTGTCAAACTCTCCTTGTATTATTTGGTTTCTAAGAGACCCACCAACCATATTTAGCGTTTTTTAGAAACAATCTAGTTTGTCAAACTCCTGATAAAACTCGATGACATGCAAAATTGAACTCCAAATGTACAGTGACCAACACAGAACAGGAATGCTATAATTCCCAATCACCTGGACACTGTGGTTTATTAATATAACCAAAGTTTATGCCAGTGGAATTTTTTAAATTGTTCTTTAAACATAATAATAATTGCAAGCTCATATTAAGTTTGTGGTGATCTGATAATTTCAGATATTTTCCGCACTGAATTTCTTTAATGTGCAACCAAAACGTAAGATTTAAGGTGTACCCCTTCAGACTTTTACCTTGTTGATTTTTGCCCAAGGTTCTGGCCTATTGAGACCATTCTAAATCTTGGTTTTAATCATCTACCCATTAGAAATGAAGATACTTTCCAAAAATCTGGTAATCATGACTTCAATATCTTTATTTAATATTTTCATTAATACTGCTTATCAGGAAAGAGTGAAATTCAGCATACTACCAGTAAAACCTTCATCAAGGCTTGGTAAGCAATTAATCAGTACTTTCTGGATTCGGCTATTTGGCAAATATACCCTAATTCAGCAGTACTGTCACATCTTATTCACAAATACGTCAATGTAATCTTGTTAAATATTGTGTTGAAAACAAGAGACATTAGGTTATCAATCAATAAATCCTTGTGGTGCATCCATTAAGTGGATGGTCCTGCCTTCAAACCGAAAAGAAAATGGTTTATGATAACATATTCTTTGTGAACCATTTTGATTCACACTGATGATTACAAATCAACATTGTATTCTCTTAGGGACTTCCCTGGTGGTCCAGTGGTAGAGAATCCGCCTTCCAATGCAAGGGACACGGTTCGATCCCTGCTCGGGGAACTAAGATCCCACATGCCGCGGGGCAACTAAGCCTGTGCACCACAACTACTGAGCTCGCACACCTCAACTAGAGCCCGCGTGCTGCAAACTACAGAGCTCACACTAGAGCCCGCTCCACGACTAGAGAGAAGCCCACACACTGAAAGGAAAGATCCCACTTGCTGCAACAAAGACCCAACACAGCCAAATAAATAAATAAATATTTTTAAAAATATATTCTCTTAAACCATTTTCCAATAATCTATGCTAGAATTTGCTAAGAATCATGTCAAGCTTACTGGGCAGTTGTTTCTATAACCTGCCCTTTTCTTAAATGGAAAATTGATTTTTGAGTTTCTCACAATTTTCTGGTAAGCTGTTCTGCATAATTTCTCAGAGACGCCCCACGATATCTCTGACATTATATCTGCAAGTTCTTCTGGTACCATGGAAATAACGTCCAAAGCCACAATACAAACTCATTTATGGTCATTAGGTTTTCTCTCATTATTTCCTAATCGATATTGGTCATTAATTCCTTCTTATCTAGACTTGTTCTTATCTTTTCAGTTTTAAAATCATTCCTAACGGAGGAGAAAGGGGGAGGCAAAATAATAACTGAAAAGTTCCGTTTTCTTTCTGTCACCTATGAATACTATACCACCTATTCCAAATTCTGGTTGTACCTGCCCATATTCTGCACACATCTTAAAAAGAGCAGGGAGACACAACATGATAAATATAATTATCACTGCTGTATGTTATATACGAAAGCTGTTACGAGAGTAAATCCTAAGAATTCTCATCATGAGGTAAAAAATTTTTTCCTATTTCTTTAATATTTTATCTGTATGAGATGATGTTCACTACACTTATTGTGGTAATCATTTCATGATGTATGTAAGTCATTATGCTGTACTCCTTAAACTTATACAGTGCTGTATATCAATTATATCTCAATAAAACTGGGAGAAAAAAAGGGGGGGTGGGGGAGAGAAGTCTTTTTTTTTTTTCTGGTCTCTAGCATTTTGAGAAGTTTCATTACATTCTAAGTCTTAAAACTTAAGATGAAAAAATAACTCATGCAGGGCTTCCCTGGTGGTGCAGTGGTTGAGAATCCGCCTGCCGATGCAGGTGACATGGGTTCGTGCCCCGGTCCGGGAAGATCCCACATGCCGTGGAGCGGCTAGGCCCGTGAGCCATGGCCGCTGAGCCTGCGCATCTGGAGCCTGTGCTCCGCAACGGGAGAGGCCACAACAGTGAGAGGCCCGCGTACCGCAAAAAAAAAAAAAAAAAACAAACAAAAAAAAAACCTCAGTGCAGATGATATTGAGTAATTATTGTTCCTATTTTTCTAATATATATTTATTCTTGATTATATGCTGCTGTTAGCCTCTATAAATAATATTTTTAAATATGGGTTCATCTGTTTGGCCATTTAGATTTCTTTAAATGGCTTTTCTTTCTCATTAGTATCATTTATGATATCAGTTAGAATTTTACATATTTGCTTTCCTCTTTCTAGGATTTATATTCTCATCTAGAAAATCTCTAGTCTCGGGACTTCCCTGGTGGTCCAGTAGGTAAGATGCCACACTCCCAATGCAGGGGCCCGGGTTCAATCCCTGGCTGGGGAACTAGTTCCTGCATGCATGCCGCAACTAAGAGTCCACATGCTGCAACTAAGAATCCCACATGCTGCAACTAAAAAAATATCCCGCGTGCCGCAACTAAACATGCCGCAACAAAGACCCGGCGCAGCCAAAATAAATAAATTTTAAAAAAAGAAGAAAACCTCTAGTCTTATGATAATAACTATAAAAAAAATCTTAGATGTCTTTCTAAGAGTACACAATACATATTTGGATGCATCTAGTAATCACTTCCTTTCTTATTATGCATTTAAAGAATGCATGGTCACCTTCTTTCAACGTTCCTCACACTTTAACATTTCCAAATAAGACCAAAATTAAAACCAAGATAATACTTTCTTTCATTATTTCTTCTGCCATAAATTTCATAATATGAAATTTCAAGCCCCTACAATATTCTGTCCTGTACTAATTATATTCTTTAACATTTAACTAATTTAACAGTTGTTCTATTTTTTGCTTCGTGTCCAATCTCGTTTCTCCATTATAATTTAAGCTTAGTGAAAGCAAAAACCTACTAAAGAGTATTATACTGTCTCTCATCGTACTTGGTACCATGCTGGCCATACAAAAGATACTACCAAAAAAAAAAAAAACAACAACTCAACAACACTTTCTGAGTGGCATTAGGGTCACTGTACACCTTTCATTACAGATAAACAGTGGTCATTAAATTATCCAAATAAACATCAGCATGAAAACTCCATTAAGCCAAGGTTAGAATACGAGCAAGGGATCAAATCCCAGTAAAGCAATGCAAAGAAGCCCTGTATTTGGGTTTAGCTGAACCTTGAAACGTAGGGACATACGAGTCAAATACTTCAAAAAAATTTCTGAGGAATAACCTTACTCCCTAACAAATTTTTCTTTTTTTCAAGTTGTCTACATACCTTATTACGTCGTGTATGGCAAGGCACTTTAAGGTCAGAACTACAGATGTCAAACTAGTTCTCTTAATCTCAGGGATCACATGGTCAGGCATACACTGGTTCCAAAAATCTTTACTATAGATGCGAAAGCATTTTCCTGAGGAAGTCCTGCCAGCTCGGCCACTTCGCTGTAAGGCCTCACTCCTTTAGAAGAAAAAACAAACAAACAAACAAAAAAGTCCCCAAAATGTTCTGTGATTTTTCTAAGTGATTCACTTCCTTCCCCAAACCAATCAGAAATTATCTAATCAACTGTTCTTTGAACAAAAAGGCTTAACACAGAGACTTACTTTGAAATCGGAACCACCTCTAGGATGTCCAATCCTAGTCTGGGATTGTGATTTAACTGCTTCACAAAGCCACCGTCTACCACATATCTAAGTATAGTGAAAAAAAGGTAAGTTTCTATAAAATAAGGAAAGACTTGTTAATTTTTAACCACTTTGGGTACTCCTTTTCTACCAAACGAACAACTACGTAACAACTTTTAAGTTAAGTGTAAAACTTGAAAGTCAAGAAATTGGAAACCCCATACACTGCTACTGGAAACGTAAAATGGTTCAGCCAATGTGGAAAATGGTTTGGAGGGTCCTCAAAACATTAAACATAGAATTACCATATGACCCAGAAGTTCCATTCCTAGGCTGAAATTTTCAAAAGAACTGAAAACAAGTACTCAACAAATACTTGTAGCCATATGTTCATAGTAGCACTGTAGGAGGACTATAAGAGCCAAAAGGTAGAAACAGCCTAAATGTCCATTAACCATTAAGGGACGAAAGGATGAACAAATTATGGTATACACATACAACAGAATATTATTCAGCCACAGAAAGGAATGTAGTACTGATACATGCTACAACATGGATGAACCTCAAAAAACATGCTGAGTGGAAGAAACCAGGCACAAAAGGTAACATATTGTATGATTCCATTTATATGAGATATCTAGAATAGGATATCCATAGAAACAGAAAGGGGTGGTCGCCAGGGGCTGGGGTGGAGGCGCAAATGGGGAGCAACCCCTTAAAGTGTACAGGTGTTTATTTGGGGGTGATGAAATGTTTTAGAACTAGATAAAGGTGGTGGTTGCACAACATTATGTATGTAATAAATACTACTTAATTATTCACTTTTCAATGTTAATTTTATGTTCTCCCATTAAAAAAATAAACTTGAAAATCAGCTCTAAACCATTCTAACAGGTTCAGAATCTAATTCCAGTTAGCCTTTAACTATGCCACTTTAAGCCAACTAAACGGAGAATAAGTCAGGTAAAAAACTAAGTTAGGAACAGTATTAAGTCTATCATTCACTTAGGGAACATTCTGAAACACGCTATTTAATGGCTTTTGCCTTTGCTGGAAACAGAAAATGGCAGAGCTTAATTTACTCAAGACAGCTGCTTACCTAAGCCCTTAATGAAACCATGATTTTTAAAGCAAAGAGAAAAGCAGAGGAAATTAAACTTCCTCTTAGATCTGGATGATCATTTTACCCAAAAGAAACATATAGGATCTCTGGGTCAGGTCCAGCCTTCCTGTGGCAGAGGCAGACTTAGTTAAGGACATAAAATATATTGGGTAAAAGATAAATATCCAGAAGGAATGTGGTTCAACAGTCTGAAAGAATTTCACATTAGCTATCAGTCTAGACTTAGACTGGTAAGTGTTTCACTACAAAATTTACTCCAAAATCTGATGGCATCACTGATTACATTGGAAAATAAAAGGCCATTTCACAAAAGGGTGAAAAGCAAGCAACATTACCTCCAGATAAACACTTGGATATACAAAGCTTACTATGTGAAGTGGAGCTGACAGGTAAGAAGGGAATATCAGATCATCTTAGGTACCTGCTGGTAATGTAATATAGAAAAAACAAGTTTGGCTTCCCATTTAAAGAAACCCACGAAACATCACACATAATCTTAAATTTGGGAAGAGAAAGCTACATGTTACCAAGTACCAGTATTTTAAAAGTGTGAACAGGCTTCCCTGGTGGTGCAGTAGTTGAGAGTCCGCCTGCTGATGCAGGGGACACGGGTTCGTGCCCCGGTCCGGGAAGATCCCACATGCCGCGGAGCGGCTGGGCCCGTAAGCCATGGCCGCTGAGCCTGCGCGTCCGGAGCCTGTGCTCCGCAACGGGAGAGGCCACAACAGTGAGAGGCCCGCGCACCGAAAAAAAAAAAAAAAAAAAAAAAAAAGTGTGAACAGAAATACTATGTGCACCTCCTACTCCATTTCCTATTCAGAGCAATCAATAATTACAAAATATGATAGGTGATTACAAGTTAAAAAAGTGAGAAGGGAATTAGTGGAGGGCACAGAGACACAAACTTAATGCTTTATGATTAGCTAAGTGGCTTCCTCGGCTTTAAAAGGAATTTTAAAGTTATACCTGATTCCATCTATTGTCAAAGATGTTGCAGAAATATTGGTGGATATGACGCATTTTCTAATTCCAGGTGGAGGTGGCAAAAATATTCTTCTCTGTTGATCTAAAATATATGTAAAGAGAAAATACTAATTTACAACATGCATTTGTCAAACTCAAGTTTTGAAAAACTCATTTATTTTCATTAAAAGTTATTTTCTTCACTCTTTAATTATCTTGAATTCAAAATATAATAGCAAAAACTATTTCTCCTCATCTTTCACTATTAAGATCTCTAGATCCATGGCATCACAGATGATCACTGCTAAAATAAACCCTACAGCAGAGTCCTTTATACAGGTCATAGCTCCCTTAGAGACTATTTAAAAACTGTGGGCCTTGTCTCCATTAAAAGTCACATATGTCTCCATTAAAAGTCACATACAAAAAAAAATTTTCAAATAACAGGGTGTTTAGGACTCTGAAGTCTATCCAAGGACAACAGATTAAGAACCTCTCTATGCTTTAAAGACTGATTAGCTAAGGCAGTTTTTACTTTTTCAGGTGTCTGCCCAATTCATCACTCCAACTCTAAACAAGTAACACCACCCTTATTTCCACTATCCACACATTCTGAAGGGTGGGCCTCAGCAGCGATGCTTATAGTACGGTACCTTGCTCCTCTGGCCATAGTTTGTGGCACCAAAGATAAACATCTCCCTTCAACTGGGCCAGTCTCATTCTCCTGTGAATTTGGAATAAGGTCCAAGAGATGCTCAGTTTGATTAAGCCAGTTTCTTGCAAAGAGAAAGAATTAACTTGTGAACCACAGGGAAGTGACTAGTGTATATGGAGGAAAGCTAGTCTAAAGAGAATAAAAAATGAATCATCCATTAGAGTTCACAAGAGAGTATTTCTGGGTTGCTGGCAATTCTCAGGCCTGAGTGTAAAATAAGCAGAAAGGTGGATTTGACCAGACTTGCCCTCCTGCCAGGTTAAGCAGAGAACAGGACAAGAGAGTTAATGTTTGCAAGGAAATGATTACAGCATAGGCAAAAGGAGATAAGTGATAAGACAAATCTCAATGCAATCTGAAAATTGTTGAATTAGGAACAGAAGAGTGAGCTGGCAGAGACAGGAAGTAATCATCAGAAAGAGGTTTAAAACTGAGATCAGAAATGAAGATAATGACAAAGTCTACAACGTTAAATTTTTGAAGGGGTGGCCATGGTGGGATGAAGGAAAAGATCACTTAAGCTAGAGAGGTCAAGCAAGCGATTTGGGTAGATCATCTATTTCAATGACATCCAAAAATTAGGAGTAATAATTCCAGGGAGTATACAAGTCAATCGATTGGGGTATGAAAAGAAATCATTAGCATGTCTATTTATATTTCTCATAACATCCTTTTAAACTTTTTATTTTATATGTGTTTACTATTTTATGTTATACATTAGAACAGTAAGTACATATATATCCTTTAAAAAGAGAAAAATTTTAAGTGCCTGGCTGCAATTTCCACGAGATATTTGGAAATTTGTTCAGAAAATTCACTCTTTCTCCCTGAACAACCTCAAGTTGTTTTCTTTTCAGCAGCCAAGAAAATCTTAACCAAACCTGTTTTTAAATAAAGTACAAAACCTGTTTCCAAAGAAAATTTTAAAAAGATCCATGTATTCGCAATATATAAAACAGACCGAAGTTGAACTATTATGAAGGGGAAAAGGAGTGGCACAGACAATCACAGTTTTAAAATTATGTTACTAGGCCAACTATCTCATTTTATAGATGAGAACACTAAAGCCCAGAGAGGTCAAGCAGCTTGCCCAGGATTTACATATAGACAGGCAAGTTTAAAACCAAGTCAAGTATTGCTGCTATTTTTCTAAAAATCATTCTGAAATTAATTTCACAAGTAAAAAAGTGCTAGAGGGCTTCCCTGGTGGCGCAGTGGTTGAGAGTCCGCCTGCCGATGCAGGGGACACGGGTTCATGCCCCGGTCCGGGAAGATCCCACATGTCGCGGAGTGGCTGAGCCCGTGAGCCATGGCCGCTGAGCCTGCGCGTCCGGAGCCTGTGCTCCACAATGGGAGAGGCCACAACAGTGAGAGGCCTGTGTACCGCCAAAAAAAAAAAAAAAAAAAAAGTGCTAGAAAGGCAGCTTACACATAAGTGATAAAAATTATTTTTTAGGTGTTTCTTAGATTTAGGTAGCTCAGACGGTTCAAAGGAATCATATACTACTTTGTAGTTTAAGTTATATGTTTATACATTTATTATTTATTGTCTATCTATTCTACTACAATGTAGCTCTGTAAGAATAAGGACTTTCTTTTATTGTTTGTGGTGGTAGTTACAGAGGTATGTACATTGTCATTGTAGGTACATATGCCCAGTACCTACAATGGCTGGACCATAGAAAGTGCTCAGTAAAGTTCAATGAATTGATCAATTTAAAAATGCATGATATAAATAATAAATTGAGATCCTTCTACCTTTGAAATTCCACATTACCCTAAAATTTTACATAAATTAGAAATGTCCAGTCTGAGCATATTTATGAGTAACTCTGTTTTTCAATTAACCCATGTTTAAAAGTACCTAATTTTAGTCTTCAGTTCAAGCAAAATTTCAGTTTATCATTTTGTTCACTACAGTCAATTAAAAAGTCCTGGGGCTTCCCTGGTGGTGCAGTGGTTGAGAGTCCGCCTGCTGATGCAGGGGATACGGGTTCGTGCCCTGGTCCAGGAAGATCCCACATGCCGCGGAGCAGCTGGGCCCGTGAGCCATGGCCGCTGAGCCTGCGCTCCGCAACGGGAGAGGCCACAACAGTGAGAGGCCCGCGTACCGCAAAAAAAAAAAAAAAAGGCCTGAAACTGCTGTTTTGACAAGACTCAGGTTTGTTTCACATTTACATTTTACCCACATACTTTCACCATATTCCACAAGTATAAACACATGCCAATTTTATGTTTGTTTATAAAGGTTTGGGAAAAAGTTAAATACATGTATCCTAAAGCACATTCTCACTTTCCACAAAGAAAAAGGGAAACTGAATATTTTCATTAAGATGTAGCAATTCTCCTGATTACCTCCATGCACCTAATAAGGTACTAGAGTATAAATTAACGGTGGTGGTGGGGGGATTGGCAAAGAGGCAGAAAGGTTTTCCAAAATCTACCAAGAAATAAGGATACTGAGGAGAGACCACTGAACGCTCTTAATGGAGTAATGCTACTAAGATACATGTATGTGACATATTATATGTTAAGGCCAACTGAAACGTCCTCAAAGAATTTGTTCCAAATTGATCCCAAAGCAGAAACGTGTTTGAGAGAGAAAGTGTGTGTGTGTGTGTGTGAGAGAGAGAGAGAGAGGATATGTGTATAAAAGGAACATAAAGCTATAAACAGAAATTGTCAATCAAAGGGGGAAAAAAGATGATTCTGGAACAGAATAAAAGAGGTACAACACTGCTCAGCTCAAACTCTACCCGCCCCCAAAGTCATTTTTGGGTAAGTCAAAAATATCTTGAGAATTCTCACTAATACAGCTGAAATCAAACTTCTGACATAGAGAAAAGGCTTGAGATAATCAGTAAGTGCAGTTGAAAAGATAAAGTAACTAGAAGGAAGCTAAAAAATATGGAAGACATGCAATCCAACATAAGAATAATTGGTAACTCTGAAGTAGGAAACCAATAAATAGACAAGAGTTATATACAAAGATATAACCCAAGAGAATTTCCTTGAAATAAAGAATTGAATTTGCAGATCAAAAGAGCAACTAAGAATAATTTATCTTGTTTGTGGTGGTAGTTACACAGGTATATACATTGTCAAAACTCACTGAACTATATACTTAAAGCGGGCACAGTTTATTGTATGTAGATTATACCTCAATAAAGTTGATTTTTAAAAAGAGCACATAAAATTCCAGGAAAATTTTACTATAAAACACTCAACACCAAAAAATATTCTAATTAAAAACTACTGAACTTTAAGGATAAAAATAGAAATTTTCAGGCAATCAGACAGAAAAAGCAAATCACTTACAAGGAGGGGGAAAAAAATCAGGTTGGCCTCGGACTTCTCCGCAGCAACATTCAATGCCAGAAGACAACTGGACAACGTCTACCAAGTTCTAAGGAAAAGAAAGTGTGACCCAAGAACATAAAACCCAGCCAAGATGTAGCTCAAGTATAAAGGCAAAAGCCAGACATTCTTAAACAAAAGAACTACAAAAAAAAAATAACACCCAAGAGCTCTTTTATTAAAAAAAAAAAAAAAAAAGGTTAAAATCTAGCCAATCTATAATTAACTGAAAGTAACTTAGGAATGGAAAAACCATGGTAAAAGGATTGATAGTAAATACTGAATACAACTGAACAATGTAAAAATAACTAACAAAAATCAGAAGGGGAGGATATAGAAGAGTATCAGTACTTAAGTGCTCATCTTTCAAATCAGGCAACAGATAAGATCTCCAATCAAATATAGTCTAAAAAGAAGATATTAACTTCAGCTTAATATTTTTCATCCTTTTAAACTTTAAAGCACTCTTTTATAAAATATTATCTCATGTGGTAAAGAAAGATATTCTTGAAGTTAACAATTCCTTCAAGTAAAATTAAATACTTTTTTAAAAAGCAGCTAATAGTATAATCTCTCTCTTAAAAAAAGTATTTGTCAACCTATCTAACTACTTACTTATCCTTCTATATGTACACACACACACACACACACACACACACACACACACACAGATCTGAATAATGTTTTTTCTAATGTTAAAGATGGTTATTTCTGGATGGAGTTTGAGGTGATTTCTTTACTTTTACCTTTGTAAAACTGTGCACTGCTTGAATTCTTTATAATGAAACTGTATTATTTTCCCTCAATTGAGTAATTTTTCTTAAAAGAGAGACACCAACTATTAGTTCTGCATAGTGGAAAATGGATTTTTTTTGTACTTTTCTATACTTTTAAAACTTCTACAAAGGGCAAAAAAGAAAAATGAAGGAGCATATGTAAAATAAATCCATTTTTGTTAAAAAAAACACTAAACAATAAAATATATCTAAATGCATAAATAAAAAGGTCAGAACAATATGCCTCAAAATATTAATACTGATTATCACTTGATCATGTTGGTGGCATCTGAGTAAGTTTATTTTTCTTTGCTGATTTTATTGTTTTTAAAAAGTATATATTTCTTTTTAAGACAAAAGAAAATTTTTCCCATTTGGGGAGACTCCACATAGACTAAAAGTTTTTATGTGAAACTCATTAGCCTTATTCCCCCACATCTTTAATCTTAACATTTAAGGAAACTATCTTAGACACTTGGTACTTGCTATATTGAAGTAATAGCTTTGGTTTGCAAGCAGAAGAAAAAAAAACTATTTTTGTATTTATGCAATAATCTGAATGAGTAGGTTTTCCCCTTTTAAAATGTTGTACACTAATCCAAGGTAAAACTCCTCTCCTTTTCTTCATCTATTCTGGAAACACATGTACTGTTAGATTCTCCACTACTGAATAAATAACCAGTTATCAAATGTAGATTCACCATGTGACCTCAGGAACATCACTTAGCCTCTATCTGTAAAATTAAAAAATCTGATTATGCAAATATATATATATGGGTATATGTGCATTTTTCTAGAAAAACAGCCAGGCTTTCATTACTTAAAAATAAAAATCTGAGATCCCCACCCTCCACAAAAGGCTAAGAAGCACTGAATTAGATAATTACGTCAGTGCTAAAAGTGTCTAATTCCATGCAAATAACTGTCACTTATGAAGTAACAGGTATATTTCAGTTCATAAATTTTTGTGAGGGTTCAGCTTTCCCTAAATGCATGACCAACCTGAAGGAGTGTAAGACCTAAACAAAAAGGGGGAAGTCAGAAGAGGGAAAAGGTTTGAGAGAAACAAGAAAAAGGTTCAGACATAGTGTTTGGTGTAAGACATTAATAGAATATCCAGCAGAAAGTAAAAAATCTGGAACTCAATTTAACAAATACTTAGTCAGGACTTTTTCAGTGTTTAGTACTTGTCCTCAGGAAGTTCAAAATCTCATAGAGGGGATGAGGCAATCGTAACACAAGATAAATGTGTTAAGTGCCACAAGAGATACAGTAAAGCACAATGAGGTTCAAATGAAGAAGAGAGAAAAACCAGCTGTGAGGAGGGAAATCAGGAAAGGTTCTTACGGAGTTGGTTGCACTTGTGAAACAAAATAGCATATTTCAACCAGTGAAAGGGGAGAATAAAAGGGAAAGGAGGAGTACAGGTTCAGGAAAGAGCAAACACAGAGTCACAAAAATGTTGTGGGAAGAAAAGGAATCAAAAATCTCTCTTACATTTTGAGTTTGAGTGAACACTGCAAAGGCTGGGGCTTGGGGGAGTTCAGCCCAGGGAGCAGGGTCACATGACCCTGGTAGTACAAGGGATACCACAGCACCTCTTCACATTTGACAGATGAGAATTTTTTATGTCAAGTAGGGAGGTATTTTAAGATGTCCCTTTAAAACAGTCAGCCACCCTCATGGCTAGCCCAGAAATAAGAGCAAATATAAAATATCCACCTCATAATTTTTACTTATTCACTAAACCTAGGTCCATTTGTACCCCCTCACTCCAGGCTATAAGCAGGAAACTCTTCTTCCCTCTCCTCACTCCCAAGTGCAAGTTTTCTGTTCCTGAAGCTAACAGGAAATAAAGGAAATAACATGATAATGTTATGTGTCTCTCCCCACAACCCAAAGTAGCAATAATAAAGAAAATAAGTGCTATATTGTATTTACCAGGCTTAGAAAGAAAGCCTTAGATCCCAGGAACCTGCCACCCTCTCCCTACTTCATCCAACTCCACCTCACCCATTACTTAGTACCTCATCAGCTCCATCTAAATGCCTCTTTGCACTGTTATAAACTGCTACAATAAATATTGTTATGATCATAATGGATCACCAGTAGCTCACCCTTACAGTGTCCTTGGAACCAGAAGGGAAACTAAAATAAACAAACAAAACCCTTTAATAATGGCTCTACTCACACCCAATCCCACATCTTTACCATTTACGCATATACACCAACAAAGAAAATCACATACACTGGGAATTAGGGCTGAAAGCTGGTAGAAGTCATACTGGAAGGATAATGAATACCAAGTTATTAAGTTCGCATTATAATTCAGCTGGCAATAGTAAATGGCTGAAGGTACCCAACAGGAGACTGACAGAATCAGAGCTGTGCTTTTGGAAGATTATGTTTATCATGGCAGGTAGGATGGTAGATTAAATCAGGGAAAACAAGTTAGCAGGATATGTTAGCAGCTCAGGAAAGCAAACTGAGGATCCCAATTCTAATGATGACAATGAGAAAAAAAAAAAGAAAAATGAGTGATCTGGACAAGATAAAGGTAAAAGAAAACCTGTAGGAGTTGCCACTTGTTTGGATTGTATGATCTAGGATGCACAGACCAGAAAGCCCTGTGAGACCCACCAGGTCTAGAGTGCAGGAGACTGAACTAGAGACAGCGTTCAGGAGTCATCACAAAGTGACAAATGAATCCTAGGAGGCAACCTCTCCAAAACAGAGAATTCTAAGAAAACAGCAAGCTAAGGATGAAACCTTAGGGAACAGTCACATTCGGAAGGGAACAAAGGCCAGGGAGGGTGGGAAGACAGCAGCCTTATAGAAATAGTGGTCAGGAGAACCAAATAATTATCCTAAACAACAGCATTTAAGGAGACTTATATTAACACAAAATCAAAATACAAATAGAAAAAAGCCATGGTATTTGAGGAACAGGCGGTCACTAGCAACCTTTTTTTCTTTCTTTTTTTTTTTTTCCCTCTCCCGTCGCGGAGCACAGGCTCCGGACGTGCAGGCTCAGCGGCCATGGCTCACGGGCCCAGCTGCTCCGCGGCATGTGGGATCTTCCCGGACCGGGGCACGAACCCATGTCCCCTGCATCAGCAGGCGGACTCTCAACCACTGCGCCACCAGGGAAGCCCACTAGCAACCTTTAATAGTACAAAAACTGAATTTCAGGAAGATAATCAAGAAGCAATGGCAGATAGAGAACATTATTTTCAATATGGCAGTAAAATGGAAAGAATGAAATTATTTACTTTATATAGAAAAAGAAAAAATATATATATTATTAATAGTTAACAACAAAGCAACTGCAACAGGTTTTGAATTATCTTATCAGTTATAAAGTAAATTATAAAAGTTAGTAGATAAAATCTCAAAAAAAACAATGAGAACATTAAATATCTAATAATGACCCTACAAATTCCCTTTAAGATGTAAAAATCTAAAATAGGTCTCAATGTTGAGAGCAAGGGCCCAATATCATCACAAAAAAGATTTCCAAAATAGCACATGGTCTATGGTTATTTACCAACACATATATTCCTGAACATTTTTCGTTAATATAAGGATAAGAACCACCTACTCAACAAAAACAAAACTACACGTAAAATATAAAAACATTTAAATGCTTTTTGCATTACATTAAATGCTAATCCCAATCAAACTTCAAATAGGAGGCTGCAGGTTAACTTCCCTTTGCTTTTACAGTCAAATTCCATAATAAAATAGTTTTATAAAACAAATTCTAAACCTCATTCAACAATATTATGAACAAATAGAATGATAAGAGTTTGCATTTGCTCTTTGAACTTAAAAAAGAACAACATTGCACTTGAAAAGTAGACTAATGTGTGTAGCTACATAAAAAGAAAACAATCCACTGGTTTGTTTCAGATATATAAGGATATATAAAATTTCTAGAAATTCCGTGGCAGTGGCAAATCAGATTTGACTTATGGTACTACTATCAAGGAATTATAGCCTTAATTTCAAAAAATTACCAACAATATTTTTGTTCTGCTGGGATAAGACATAGGCCACTCTTAACAATAGTAAGGGGGATAGATGTCCAAGGTCTTGAAAAAGTGAATGTGAAAAGATTTCAAGAAAAAAAAATCACTTCTCTCAAAGGGATGCTGATTGGTTCTCCTAATGCTCTGTTTCTTGATCTGGGTGTTGGATACAAAGGTGAGTTCACTTTGTGAAATTCACTGACCTAAACACCTAAGATCTGAACACTGTTCTGTATACATGTTATTATTCAATGAAAAGTTTTAAAAATCAAATTTTCTGTTCTAGTGAGGAATTACCTGTTGTCATAGATCCATAACACGGCAATATTAGCAAGCCATCTAGAGTGGTATCTTGGACATCATAATCATAATCAACAGACTCTGCCATCTGAAAAAGTAACTCACAACTTTTTTCGATTTCAAACTGACCTGAAATGAGGGGAGAAAATAATGTCAGCAACTGAACAGCAAAATTAATTTAAGAATAAAAAAAAACCCTTCTAGATTAATATTGGTTTTACATAATAGTTATTTTAAATCTCTCATTTGATCTAAGGTAGATGAACACAAAAATTGTACGCAATCTCAACAATAATAAAATTAAAAATAGAAGAAAGTTTCCAAGGAATTTAAATCTCTAAAGGAATAAAAATGTTTATAATCATAAAGCCTTTCATCTTGCTAATATGGTATATTTGAGGAAGACTCAATAAAGTTAATCATTACCATAGGGGAGGCTAGTCCAGGAGATACTACATTTAGGTGTATTTCAAAATGCTTAATTAAGTACCTCAAAAAGGCTAAGAGATTGTTACAATGTCTCACTTCTGACAGGGGTACAAGGCAGTGTAGGAGGTGAGCCATGAAATTACTCATATCTGTTAGTAAGATGCTGCTACTTGAAAAATCACACTAGTCTGAGATTTAACTATTCTATTTTTGACCTCCAAAAAACGCTTGTCTATGAGACATGGATTCTACACCTTATGTACTGCTACCACACAGTACCATCCCACCACTCAAAGAAGAAAGGAGCTAGTAGTATGTCTTTTGAAATAATGAAATTAATCATTCAGATCCAGGACTGTTTAGTGTGGTTAACAGCTCTATATAAGATAGAGTAATAAAAATATTAATATTTTACCATTTAATATCTTTCTACTATAAGTCAGTGTATTTTACCTATGTTTACTAATGAGACTCATGGTTTTTAGGGCAGTGTAGAATTACCTTATATATCTTGTAATAGATATAATATCTAAAACTACTCAGAAAATCATAAAAGGCTAGGATAACATGAGTAGAGCCTAGATTTTCCAACAAAGGTAACACTGTATCATGGTGCCCCGCTCCCTCGTACAAATAGTAAAATTTTTAAACCTGGTACTGAATGCTCACCAGTCAGAAAAACCAAGATGTCTCCAGCCATTTCATTCAAATGGATATCCATGGTCACTTTGACAATCTAAAGCAAGAAACACAAGCATAATATGCTAGTGGAAATACAGTCCCCCCACCACCACCACCTCCCCTAGTTCCACAGAAGAATTAAACTTGATTCTCGAAAGTCCTAGGACCTGGGACTTCCCTGGTGGTCCAGTGGTAAAGAATCCACCTTCCAATGCAGGGGATGCGGTTCAACCCCTGGTCAGGCAACTAAGATCCCACATGCCGCGGGGCAACTAAGCCCGCGTGCCACAACTACTGAGCTTGCATGCCTCAACTAGAGCCTGCGTGCTGCAAACTACAGAGCCCACGTGCCCTGGAGCCTGCGTGCAAACCACAACTAGAGAGAAGCCCGTGCACCACAAAGAAGAGCCCACATGCCACAACAAAAGATCCTGCGTGCCTCAATGAAGATCTCGCGTGCTGCAACTAAGACCCGACACAGCCAAAAATAAGTAAATAAATAAATAATAAATCTTTTTTTTAAAAAGTCCTAGGACCTATGAGGGCTGCCATTAAAATAATAGAGACAAATAAATTATCAAACTATTCAATCAACTAGAATCATAGATACAGAAAAGACATAAAAAGGATGCCAAGTAATACCGCTTGAATATATGCAGTATTTTCTCTATCTCGTGGACCAATCAAATTGCAGAATTTTTCTCTGACCGGATAAAGCCTTCCAGGTATATCAAATATTGGACAATTTCCAAAGAATGCAGAGAGCTTGGCTAATTCCATAGTTGCTGACATCACTACGACCTTTAAATGCTCTTTCCTATTAGGAGACTTCTCCTGAAACAGCTTCTTCAATAAACCAAATAAGATGTCCTGAAAGAAAAGTAAATTTCTAATAAGTCACAAGTGTACATAACAACCAATTTATTTTAAATATTTTGCTCTCCTAACCAAAGGATTCCCATTTGAATAGATTAAAATGTAAGTAAGAGAAGGCAATTCACTATACAGTACAAAGCTACCCAAAAGAACTAAACTGTCTAATAAATAACCGATACAGTAAAATACTCACTGTAGTTAGAGTTCTCTCATGGGCTTCATCCAATATAATGACACTGAACTTGGTAAGATTTGGATCTCCCAGGATATGTTTCAGTAAACATCCATCAGTCATGTATTTGATTGCTGTTTCCTAATGTTCAAACAGCAGAGTACATTAACATATACATAAAAATAAAATCACAGAAATTCATCCCTGCTTTGCAAACTAAATTTTCCCCCTCAGGTGTACAGATATTAAGTGACCAAACTAATCTGATGAAATAAGAGTACATAAAATAGTCTAATAACATGTCTAATAACATGGATGGTAAATTACGAAACTTGTGATCTATACAGAGACAGGGATAAGGAACTAAGGTGAATATTCTGGAATAAAGCAAACAAAAGTGACCAATAAGGAAATACAATGAAGTCAGTGGAAAGTGGTTAAGATAATGTAATGACTTCAGATGAGCAAGTTGTGGGAAAACAATAATGAAATGGAATTCATCTCCCTGTCTCAGCTGCTATTTTAGAGGACTCAAGAGAAAAGGTAGGTGCACCATTTCTCTCACTCTCTTCTTCCTTGACCACTTTCCTGCTACAAAAATAGGGTCAGTCGACTAGAATTAAAACAAGGTGAGAGGGCTTCCCTGGTGGTGCAGTGGTTGAGAGTCCGCCTGCCGATGCAGGGGACACGGGTTTGTGCCCCGGTCTGGGAAGATCCCACATGCCGCAGAGCGGCTGGGCCCGTGAGCCATGGCTGCTGAGCCTGTGCATCCGGAGCCTGTGCTCCGCAACGGGAGAGGCCACAACAGTGAGAGGCCTGCGTACCGCCAAAAAAAAAAAAAACAAAAAAAACAAGCTGAGAGTAAGGTCCAGAGGAGGAGTTAACAGCAATGATATCCATAAAACAAAGGAAGAAATAAAGAAAGAAAAATCCCCAGCAGTGACCACTAGGAAGGCAAAGACAGTATTTTGGGGAGTCATTCTTTGCCACTGTTGATGGCCATTCCTATCAGGGACCATAGGCAAATCAGAGATTGTTTTGTATCTGGTACAGGATTAAGAAATCCTGAAGGAATATAAATTGTAACTATGAACTATTGCCATGAATACAGAAGATGCTCAATAAATACCTGATCAATGACTTTGTTCATTAAGCTGTCAGTTTTCCACTGACTTCAAGAATATAACCGTACAATATGGATGAACCTTGAAAACTTCAGCTAAATGAAATAAGCCAGACACAAAGGACAAAATATTGTACGATTCCACTTGTACAGGGTACTTAGAATATGGAAATGTATAGATACATAAAGCAGAATAGAAGTTACCAGGGACTAGGGGCGGGGAGATGTGAATGTGGAGCTACTGTTTAGTAGATACAGAGTTTTTGGTTGGGATGGTGAGAACATTCTGAAAATAGATAGCAGTAGTGGTTACACAACACTATGAATGAACTTAATGCCACTGAATTGTTCACCTAAAAATGGTTTAAAAGTAATACAAATGGTAACTTTTATTTTATGTGCATTTTACTGCAATAAAAAATATTTTTAAAGAATACAAATGTAAGTTACATGCCAAGGATCCTTACAGCGAAAACACATGACAGTCCTGTGAAAAATCAACATAACTGTCACATAAACTAATTGAGAAGGGAGAAAATGGGATGAATTAGACACCCCAGGACTAGAGCATTAACAATGGGCAACACAAATTAATTCTAATCTGAGGCTTTGTTTCTTTAAAATATAAATGGAATTTTGAAGTCAAAATCTTTCATCACTTTCTCACTCTTTCTATAAATTTATAGTACTTAATTAAATACAAGCAAAACTTTTGTACCTTAGAGCTGCAATCGTCAAAACGAACTTGGTATCCTACTTTGGATCCCAAAGTGCATTTCATTTCTTCAGCAACCCTCTGAGCAACAGATATGGCAGCTACTTTTCGTGGCTGAGTCACACCAATCATACCATGTTGTGAAAACCCTATCAAAACCAGAAGTAAAAAAACACAAAAATGTTAACAATTGCTTCCCATTAGAGCTAAATTGTTTCTGGTCAATCAATACAAACTGTTCAAGTGTTTCTAAAAGAAAACTCTGCCAATTAACAACACACTGTATTACATTTGCACCATGGAAATTTAAGTATTAATTAAAAATAAGACTACATATTAATAGCTGTTCTAAATGTATATATTTTAATTAATTTTTTTCAATTTCAGTCTAAAGATTTACTCTAAAGAGTAAGCCAAGAATTTTTAACCCCTAGGAATCCATAAAATTCCACACACTTCCTAAGATGGATTTAACTTTGCCACAGAAGTTTAAATATACCACTTTTCATAGATTCTACAAGCATATTTTACTATTTTAATATCTTTGAAAGGGAGATGCATCTTATAACTGATGGCATTTTTTTTATTAATAGTATGTAAAATAGTGGTATGTCTTAATAGACGGCATCTTAGATTTGATGCATTAGAGTAAGTTAATATACACTACAAAATTTTTATAATATCCAACATAATTTTGCTCTATACCAACCTTATGATAGAAAGTTTTACCGTATTGAAGGGAAAGACACCGTAAGGATAATTTGTTAGCTGGCTTGGTGTTAGTAGAGTCAAGGAATAAACAGTTACCTGATAACACTCTGGAGATAGAACCAAGAAATACTAATGTCAGCAGCAGATATCAATATATCCCTTCCCTCGGAAAATTATTTCAGTACCAGTGGTCAAGAGTCTACTGCAAGACAACCTTATTCTATAGCACAGAATCAACTTCTACCTATAATTCTATTTGGAATTATTATGATAACTGAAAATGCCATTTCAACTAATCTGAAATAAGACCGTAAAAAAGCAAGGAAGATGTAGGGACAGTGTGCCAAGACAAGAACTGGGACTGTAAAGCAAATGATGTGCATTTGTGTAATACAGAAGTCCTATTAGCTTTTAAGAGGATATTTTTAAAGTACTCCCAATATTTTCCCAGAATAAAATTACCTGCTTCATATAGATATTTTGGGAGTTGAGTTGTTTTACCACTTCCTGTATTTCCAGTAACAATAAGGAATGAATTGTCCCTCACAGCTTGAATAAGCTTTTTTCTTTGTTTTTGAATAGGAAAAGTTGGAGTAGTTCCTCCCTCCTGTGATGTGCATCCTTTCTCTTCTGTAATGACAGGGGGAAAAATTGTGCAATTCAAAGGCCTGTAAAGATATCTCTCATTCAATCTCCCAAAACTGCAAAGGGAATGACAATAGAATTTCAGGGCTGGAAATAATCAACCCATGACTCTTCAGTTAAATCACCTACATCCAATTTGCAAGCGAGGGTTTATAAACCCAGAGCAACTTTTTAGTGAAATCAACTTGAGCATTTGCTAATGCATGACTCAAAGTATCTGACAAAGTTAAGCCTAGCACAAGGCAATGTATTTGCAAGCATACCTATACAGAAGCACAAAACCCAATTTTATTAAACAATAGACCAAAACCTGGAACACAGCAGAAAGACTCTCAGCTGAATTAAAAGCCACCTGTGTTTGCTTCTGATTCACGGTTCAAGTTAGGTCCCTGTTCAGAGTGACTGATATCCCAGAAGGCCAAGTGGTGGGTAACCATGGAAACTGGCTCCTGGAAACTGGCTCCCTCATACCGTACCCAAAGGCAGGCTGGCGGCCCGACGAAGGGGCGGAGGGGGGGAGGCGGGAATGGATGGGTAGAGAACAAAGGCTTTATGAGCCCATTTAAGAGCAGAACGCGTTTCGGCGTTGGGGTTCACTTTTTTGTCCCCCAGCAGGGTTTTCACCCAACTTGGGTCTGGGACCGCCCCCCTCTAGACCAAAGTCCTCACTGGATGCAAAGTTCCCCTCCGGCTTGGAGAGCGACAAGAACGCTGCGGCCTCCCCCCCTACTCTTCTCTGCCTGCCTAAGGCGGACTTTTATCCCCCCCCAGAACCCCCATGCCATAACTCCCGCTGGCCTCCGTACTGTCCCGCGGACCGCACCTCTATCCGCGATGGGAACTGCCGAAGGCCGCTCTTCTTGGAGGTCTCTTGATCGCTCACCTTCCTCCTGCCGCCTTGGCGCCCTGCCCGCGACGGCGGGAAACCGGGACATAGACCTGGCCCAGAGCGGAGGTGAGCACGTCCACCGTTCTGGGAAGATGGGAGGGGAAAGGCGAAGACGCGCCCTGATGACGTCAAGGTGTTTACTTCCGCGCGTGCGACTCGAGCGAGGGGAGGAGGAGCTGTTCGATGACGTGGCGCGAGGCAGCCGGAGAGCTGCCCAACAGTTGCGACCCGGCCGCGAGCAGAGGGCCCACGCTCGAGTGTTTCCCGCCAAACGCCGACGTGCGCTGGGGCTCCGCCGGCGAAGCCAGCCCAGAAGTACCGAAGGGACCCCTCCTGTTTCTCCTCTTGTGCGCAAAAGGGCCAGGCGACACCTTTTTTTTCTCAGTGGTCACTGCAAGCCTATCCTACCTTCACACACCTACCGTGATGTGACCCTTTGCCAGGAGCTGGAACCATCCTAGAGTTCGGCGTTCCCCGACGTTCTCACCTTGCTCATCCTGAAATGACCTGTTCAAGGCACACAGCTCATGAGTTGCAGAGCTGAACTTCTGTTTCCGTAGTGTCCAAAACTTAGGTCCCCCACGCTGTCCAGTTCCTTCATAGGACCCTGCATTTTAATTTATTTCCATGTTTATTTTCTTCCCCTTTCCCCCAACTAGACGCAAGGGCAACAACTTTAGAAAATCATGGTACATGGAGCACAGCAAAGTGATTCAAACTGGACCGTCAATATTTTTTGAATTTGCTGATGGATGAATGAATGATTGACCTCCAGAGGAGTTAAGCTCACATTTAATGGTTGTGCATTCCTTGGAAACCACAAGAACTGAAAAATTAAACAGATATACAACAATCGGGGTGGGGTGAATTTTCAGAAAAGGTACTTTGGGAAGCAGGTCTTTCTGTTATAGAACCTTACAATTTTGTAAGTAGTGTCAATTGTAACAAAATCCATGCAAGAAGATTGTTTCTTGGACTTTTCAATCATTCCTGCTGTTAGAATTAACCAACACTTACTGCCAAAAAAGACAGCTCAAGTTGTCACTTTAACTGAAGTTCACTATTCTCCTATCCAACCAGGCTTCAAAAGATGTCATTGGACCCCAAGATTTTTCTGTGCTTATTTAAAATATATGAATACCAACTCCTTTTAAATGGGACTGATTAACGTCTCCTAAAATGCAAGTGAGTGAGAGCAACTTTCTAATAACTTTATATCTCCAAACCTGGGAGCTACAGGAATAAATGATATAATAGGAGAACATCCCAGATTTCTCTCATCCATTAAAGGAATTCCCCAACATCCTGCATTCTGTTAGAATTCAAAATATCACAACTCAGAAAAACCACAAAAAAAGCAAAAATACATTTGTAGTATAGGCAAGGTATTGGTGAGCACAGGGCATGGTAGTCACTTTTAAGAAAATGAGCAGAATAATTTCAGACCAATGACAGTTACCATTTATTAAACACTTAGCAGTCAAGCATGTAATATAAATTTTTTCACTTATTCTTCACAAAAACCCATACAAGTAGGTTATTATCACTAATTTTCATATATGGGAATCAAAGCTCACATATTTGCCTCAAAACAGAGGTAATATGACTAGATTTCAAAGTCACACTAATACCACTGTACTGTAATGGGAGATGGAATTATCTAAATCTCGGTGGCTAATACATTTTCTTCCAATGTTTGTAAATCAACTATTATAGAATGACTCCATTCTCATATGAGAACCACATAGTGAGAGTATCCAGAATAAAACCTGCAAGCCAAGAATAAAGAAAAGTAAAAGTGAAAAACTCAAATGATGTTTAACATTGTTGATTTTAAAACGAAGGACGTTTAAAACATGTCACCATTAATAACCATGTGCTTAGGGCTATTCCAAATTGAAAGAACAACAACTATTTCCTGCTCAGTAAGTTTACAAATTGCAATGGCAGACAAGATACAAATATAGAATTAAACTAGAAAATACGTGGGTTTAATCTGAGAAGAAAAGTCAGTGTTCTCAACAACATTGAATCTATTTCCTTTTACCTTTGGGTAGAAAAAGAAAAAGCTGAAGGAGGACTTCCCTGGTGGCGCAGCGGTTAAGAATCTGACTGCCAATGCAGGGGACACCGGTTCGTAGCCCTGGTCCGGGAAGATCCCACATGCCGCGGAGAAACTGAGCCCGTGTGCCCAGGGCCCATGCTCCGCAACAAGAGAAGCCACCACAATGAGAAACTGGCTCACCGCAACAAAAAGTAGCCCCCGCTCACTGCAACTAGAGAAAGCCCGCGTGCAGCAACGAAGACCCAACACAGCCAAAAATTAATTAATTAATTTTAAAAAAAACCTGAAGGAAATGATATTCAAAGAAGTGTGAAAAGTATGACTTGCACCCTGCTGCTATTGCTTCATAAGCAGTCTTTCAAAATGTTCTTGAATCTAAGCAATCTACTTCAGAGCATCCAGAAGACAGGAAAGAGGCTCAGTATTAGATTTTAAAAATGGAATAGAATTTTAAATCCTCTTGAAGAAAGAAAGGAGAGTATAGAACCACTGTTATAGTTTAACTGGGGTAGAAAGGAAAATTATCAAAGATATTCATACAATGAAATACAGAAAGTCAAAAACACCAGACAAATGGCAGCATGTAGAAAGCTAATCATAACTGGAAGTCAAGAGAGTGAGCAATAGTGTCAAAGTTCATGGATTTTTTTTTTAATCCATGAACTTGACTAAAACGATAGTTGTCTCGTAAAGAGAAGTAGATAGGAGCCAGACTGTAAGTGGGTGGGAAGAGAAATAGAGGGCAAACTGAAAAGGTACTTAAGGTATTTAATGCATTTGGAGATGTATGGTTAGAATCAACTAAGGTAAATAAAAGGAGAGAAGAGAATAGCCAGAAAAAGGTGCTGCTGCTACAGTGTATGTGTGATGATTCATGGTCAATGGTATCATTGGGGTATAATTAGAAGGTGTGTTTAGGAGACTTGAAACACAGAGGTACTGATGAGGGAGAAAAAGCAAGTTCACATTTTGAGAATGAATGCAGGTCTGGAAGAGAGAGAACAAACTTTTAGTCAAAGTAGTTATAATGAACCTTCATTTGTGACAGATTTGTATCCCAAAATATGAATCTGATTGTTCCTCCCTATTTCCCTCCTTTATTTCTGTCTTACTTGTAAACTAAAGACTTTTCTTCTGCCCCAGCCCTCACCAGAGCAGAAACAAAGATCCAATGACACTGCTAACCTAAATGCCAAGATCAGAGCCACCTGGGCATGCTTGAAGAACTGGTTATTGCCTCTCTCAGACAGATAAGACTGAGCTTAGAGAGGGCAGAGAGAAGGGAGAATGTAATGAGAAAGGAAGAACTGATCGAAGGAATAAGGAGCCCTCAAAGTAGGCAAGAGAAAGAGAATCTTTCGTTAGAAAGTTCTAGTGGCAGGCATTCAAGAAGATAAGCCATCTGAAGTGTGGACCATTCCTCCTTTTAAAAATAAATAAAAAACCAAAACTGTGACTAGTTAGCCACTTAGCAGTCCTGGATACATGTAAACCTGGAAAGAGAGAGGGGAGCTTGTATGTTCTGGAAGGAATGGAAGCATGAAGAATCTCACTCCCTAACCAGAGTTAGACAGAAACAATAGGGAATTTTCCTATGAGTGAGGTAGTGGACCCCATGCTAGTTACATATTCTATTAACATGCATGTAGGATGTTAGCAATTTAGGCATTTGGAGGAAAATATTTAGATGGCCATACCATAGAACTTAGAGAAGTACCCACGTTTCAGTTCAAAAGTAAAAAACAACATCATCCTACTTTCTTCTCTTTTTTTTTTTTGGTGTCCAGATATTAAGATTTGAGTAAGTATCACAAGGCCACTTACCAAGCAGTCATTAATCATTCATCAATAATATTATTTAATTGAGAGGTTAATAAAAATTGAGACACTTTTAGTCATTATCAATGAAAATTGGTGCTTTACACATATGCATATAATCGTGCATGAATGTGTGGCATTCCCATTATTCTATCAGTAAAATAAGAACTCTTTCAAATAAAAGCTCAATGGGTACTCTAACTTCCTATTCATTCATTCATGTGTTCATTCAGTAAATATTAGAATGCACAACTATATTATTTACCCTTCTTAATAGCCATAAAGAGGCATAAAAATATGCGTAAGAGATTATCACTACCTGCAAGCAGTCAAGGAGCTAAATATTTAAAGGAGGAAAAACTAGCTAGAGTGATGAGGAAAGACGTTTTGGAGTTAATGTCATTTGAACTGAGCTTTGAAAGTTGGAAAGATTTCAGTAAATGCCAGGGAAAGATTCTGGATAGAGGAAATCTCACAAAGACACTAATAGGGTGACCAAAACATTATTAATTATGGATGATTGAGAAATCTGCAAAATTGATGTTCTATCACTGGTGATGGTCTCTGTAAATCTTTCATTTGCCTGAAGGTGGCAAGCTGGGTTTATTTGAGAAACGTCAGCATCAACATTATTTGAAGGAAAAATGAAACAGTACTATTTCTCTAGGAAAAAAAAAAAAAACTTTCATTGACATTTAACTTGTAAAATCGAAAAGTGAAAAAGATTGAAATTACCAGCAAGTAAATACTGTACATATTTAATATTACTTATTTCAAAGCACATAGATTTTGTACTGCAAGTATTTTACATTTAAATTTTTTAGTTTTTGTTGTCCTTATTGATTTCTTATGATACAATTTTCTCGTAGGAGAAAGAAAGGAGCTTATACTTTCAAGTATGGCCATTAAAATCTATGATAGAGCCTGTGTATAAGTCTTTGGGGGTGTGGTAAGGTTTATTGAGGCATAATTTCCAAGTAGTAAAAAGCATCATTTTTAGTGTATAGTTGTATACATTTTATGAATTTTGACAAGTGTATATGATATGTAACCACCACTATAATAAAGATATAAAACAGTTACATTATTCTAACAAATTACCTTGTGCTCCTTTGTAGTCAATCACTTCTTTCACCTCTAGGCCCTGGCAACCACTAATTGGTTTTCTGTCTCTTTAGTTTTGCCTCTTCCAAAATGAATGGAATCGTACAGTATGTACTCT